CCCCTTGCCTTCCTAGGCATGATTCCATCACCTTCGGCCTCAAGCTTGGCCGAGCCTCCCTTCGGCATTCAGAATGACCGGATACCCCCCTCGGCCATGAAAATAACCGAACACCTCTTCGGTTAGATGCTTAGCCGAAGACCTAAAGTATGTCAACCCATATGGAACATATGGCAGATTAGGATATCCATTACGCAATGATTATCACGTCTAATTAAGAAAGATCAAGGTTAACCATGGTATTACCCATCTCCCACGACAGAAGGCCCACCAGGCCCAAATACGTCACTATAAATACACAGGTGATGGGACAAAAAAAAGGTTCGATTTATCTAGTATAAAAGCCTTTATTGCTCTATACCGAACACTTACTTGATCGTCAGAGTGCCTTTGCAGGTACCCTCCCCACCCTTTGAAGATAGTATTCGGTCTGCACCGAAGACTTGGAAGATCACAAGGAAGGAGCAACAAGTGGAGTGTTTCTAAGCAGGAACATTTTGGCGCTCACCGTGGGGCCGAAACCAAAACGGTTCTCGACCCTGAAGTAAGATGGTAGCAACTAGAAGTCAACAAGAAAACGCCATAATTTACAATCTTGGAATGCCTCGGACACCTAGAAAACAGATGAATCAGAACGAGGATGGAATGGAAGAGTCATACGTCGATCGGTCCCAACCCCCCAACCCGTCATCGGCCATAGAACAACTGAAGGCCGAGATGATGGAACTAAAGAGACCGACTTCGGGAGAAGGACGCCCACGAGCTATCGGTCCTGAGAAAGGAGAATGCGGAGCTTAGGAGCGATAACCGATCCTGGCACCCCTCCCATGACACCCCCAACACTCTATCAACGCGTGATTAGGGGGAGTCATCGGGGTGGTACAAAGAGACAAAGACTCATCGGCTACCCGGCAGAGCAATAACAACAATGCTAGATCAGCAACGACGACAAGGGAGAACACCATTTACCCCGGACATCGCCGGAGCCCGGTTACTGGACAACTGGAAGAACTTGGCTTTGGAGAGGTACGATGGAACCACTGATCCGGAAGAACACCTTGATGCCTTCGTCATGCAAGTCGGTTTGTACACCGAGGAGGATGCTGTCATGTGTAAGGTGTTCCCCACCTCACTAAAAGGACCGGCGTTAAACTGGTTCACAAGACTCCCTTTGGGATCGGTAGATTCCTTTACAACCCTGTCCTCTCGGTTTGTAATTCAATTTGCCACGAGCCGACCCCATAAGCTCATGTCCATAGCTCTGGTTAACATTCGCCAAGAAAAGAAAGAGCCTCTAAGAACATTCATGGAGTGATTCGGGAAGGTGACCCTGTCTATCCGTGATCTTGACCCGGCGGTAGCAATGCACCACCTCACCACGACATTGAGGCCAGGTCCTTTTGTAAATAGCCTTTGCAAAAAGCCACCCCGAGACTTGGACGACCTGAGATAGAGGGCCACAAAGTACATGCAAATGGAGGAATTGGCCGAGTTTTGGAATCAAAACCGACCCGACCTTTTTCTTGGGAAGAGAGTGAATGATAAAGAACACCCCAGGTCTCGTCCACGAGACATATCTGATCGGGAGAAGAACAATAGAGGGCCAAGATACGCACAGTATACGCTGCTTAACACCAGCAGGGCCAAGGTGCTGGAGCAAGCCTTAACCACCGAGGTCCTAGCGGTGCCCCGACGAGCCCTGACTCCGCCCCATGCAGATAGAACAAAAACATGCCAGTTCCATAAAAATCGAGGACACACTACGGAGGAATGCACAGCCCTTCGAGATCGCATCGAAGACCTCATCAAATCCGGAAACCTTCAAAACTTCATCCGACCCGCAGATGGGAGAAAGCACGACTACCTCTCAGGTAGGAGGGAACACAAAAGGGGGGACCGAGATATAGCACCTCCGAGGTACAGATCACGTGTGCGCAGCAGGTCCCAAGAAAGGAACGATCAGCAACGAGACCGGAATCAACCTAGAAGGGTGATAAACACAATTGCTGGCGGATTCGTAGGAGGGGGAAGCATGTCCTCGGCTCGTAGGAGACACTTACGGGCAATCAAGTCAGTAAATGCCGTAGGCTGAACAGCTTCGGTCCACATGCCCCCTATCACGTTTATCGATCGAGATTTTCAAGGCGTCAACCCTGTGCAAGATGACCCGATGGTGATTAGTGTCGAGATTAACAACTGCATTGTGAAAAAGACGCTCGTTGATCAAGGGAGCTCGGCTGACATCTTGTACTGGAAGACATTCGAGCAACTTGGCATTCCCGAACGAGAGCTGGCACCTTACAACGAGCCCTTGGTCGGATTTTCAGGGGAGAAAGTGGACACCCGAGGGACGATCGACCTGTACACCTATTTTGGAAATGGGCAAGAAGGCTGCCAACTAAAGGAACGATACGTGGTGGTCCACGCCAACACTTCCTATAATATCCTACTTGGACGACCCTCTTTGAACAAGCTCTAGGCTATTATATCCACCCCTCACCTGGCTATGAAGTTTCCCTCCGAAGCTGGAACGGTAATCACCGTACACGCTGACCAGAAGATGGCCCGCGAATGTTACTTTGCCAGCTTGAAGGTACAATCGACTCCTAGGCCTAGGAGAGATGTCAATGTCATCGGTGATGACTGAAAAGAAAAGCCAATGGTAGACCTAGAGCTCGATCCAAGGATTGAGGACGAACACCGGGTCGAACCAATAGAGACAACAATCCCATTTCAGCTGGGAAGAGACGAAGAACAAGCCACTTACTTGAGTTCCCAGTTGTCAGAGGTCGAGGAAAAAGACATCAAGCAAATCCTCAGGAAGTACGCCGACCTGTTTGCCTGGACAACAGCTGACATGCTAGGAATCGATCCAAGCTTTCATTGCCACCGGCTCTCGATATGCCAAGCCCATCGCCTAAAAGAAAATAAAAATGGGAGGAGAAAGGGCTCAAGCGGTGAGAGAAGAGACGACCAAGCTACTGCAAGCAGGGTTCATCAGGGAATTCAAGTACTCTAGTTGGTTGGCCAATGTGGTAATGGTTAAGAAGGCAAATGGCAAGTGGCAGATGTGTACCGACTACACGGATCTGAACAAGGCATGCCCAAAAGATGCCTATCCCCTTCCACACATTGACGCATTGGTCAACGGAGCGGCAGGTCACCAGAGCTTAAGTTTCCTAGACGCCTACTCAGGGTATAATCAGGTACCCATGTACCCACCGGATGAAGAGAAAACTGTGTTTATCACTGATTCGACCAATTTTTGTTACAAAGTGAAGCCATTCTTTTTGAGAAACGCGGGGGCAACTTACCAACGACTCATGGATAAGATCTTTCAGCGGCTGATAGGAAAATGCATGGAAGTGTATTTGGATGACATGGTGATTAAATCTGCCTCCACCGACGATCACATAAGAGATCTTGAAACAATATTCGACGAAGTGAGGCGGCATCACATGCGGTTGAATCTAGCAAAGTGCACCTTCGGAGTCGCTGGTGGGAAGTTCTTGGGCTTCATGCTGTCTAAGAGAGGTATAGAAGCTAATCCCGACAAGTGCCAGGCCATTGTTAATATGAGAAGCCCACACAATGTAAAGGAAGTACAATGACTGGTCGGGCGCATAGCTTCCTTGGCTCGTTTTCTGTCCTGCATGGCAGACAAGTCAAGACCCATAATGTCTTTGTTGAAGAAGGCCAGCAAGTTCCAATGGACTGAAGAATGTGAGTCCTCATTTCAAGACTTCAAGACAATGCTCACAGCCCCGCCATTGCTTGCTAAACCGAACCCCCAGCTAGAGATGATCGTCTACATCTCGGTGTCTGACAAAGCTATTAGCACGGCTCTAGTGCAAGAACAAACGAAACAAATGTCGGTATACTTCATCAGTCGAGTCTTGCAAGAAGTCGAGACCCGGTACCAACATCTTGAGAAAACGGTTCTAGCTCTCGTACACACGGCCCGACGTCTCCGACACTACTTCCAGAGCCACAAAGTCGTCGTCAAGACAGATAGCCCGATTGTCAAGGTCTTGCAGAAGCCCGAACTAGCCGGACGAATGGTTGCTTGGTCCATAGAACTATCGCAATTCGATATTCGTTTTGAACCAAGAGGACCCATCAAAGCACAGAGCATGGCCGACTTCATAAACGAATTCACTCCGGAAGTACCACCTAAGCCGCATGTATGGACTTTGCATGTAGACGGGTCGTCAAACCAACAGGGTAGCGGAGCCGACATTATACTAGAAGGTCCTGGTAAAGTGGTGGTCGAACAATCACTACAATTCGGTTTTAGGACTTCCAACAACCAAGCCGAGTATGAGGCCCTTCTCGCCGGCTTAAGGCTGGCAAACGACCTAAGCATCACTAGAGTTAAGTGTTGGAGTGATTCACAAGTGGTTACTGGACATGTCAACGACACCTTCCAAATTAAAGAGCCAACACTACTATTATACTTCCATGCTTTCCAGAAGCTGAGAAACAATTTCGATGACGTTCGCGTTGAGCACATACCCCGGGAACTTAACGCAAGAGCCGATCAATTGGCTAAGCTAGAAACCAGCAAGAAAACTAGCCATTTGCGCAGCATGATACAACAAGAACTAAAAAAGCCAAGCATCGTGGAAGCTGAGTGTTTACACGTCCAGCAGGGGAATCCTAATTGGATGACCGGTATAGTTAAGCACCTTTTGACTGGAGAACTACCTGCCAACCCCTTTGACGCTAAGAAGATGAGAATCATGGCAGCACGGTATACATTAGTAGCTGGAGAGCTATATAAGTGGGGCATCTCATCGCCCCTGTTGAAGTGCTTAACTCCCGAACAAGCGCACTATGTCCTCCGAGAAATCCACGAAGGCATATGCGGAACTCACTCGAGAATTCGAACTCTCGCAGCCAAGGTCATCCGGGCCGGTTACTATTGTTAGAAAAGAATGGCACAATCCAAGAGGGGGGTGAATTGGATTCTATGACACTTTAAAATTTTTGAACTATTTAGGATCTTTATTTCAATTAAACTTTTCTAAAAAATGTGGTGTTCTAAGTCCGGTAAGAGTCGGCTGACGAAGTAAACGGGAGCTTGGGTACCTTCTTTTTCTTGCACCAAAACCGAGCTGATCGCATCTTCGGACACGACCAGGTATACCAAAAGTGGCCTCGAAGGATCAGGTCTCGTTAAGATCGGTGGCGTCGCTAGTGCTGCTTTCAACGCCATGAAGGCTTTTTCACATGGTTCATCCCACGAGAAGGCTGAGGCCTTTCGCAAAAGCTTCGTCATCGGGCTAATTTTGTCGCCTAGACGCGGGAGGAATCGTGACAAGGCAACTAATCTTCCTGAAAGACGTTGCAGTTCCTTGAGGTTGCTCGGGCTTCGCATATCTATCACAGCTTGGCATTTGTCTCGGTTTGCTTCAATGCCTCTTGCAGATAGCATGAAACCTAGAAATTTGCCTCCCCTGACTCCGGTTCACATTGATGCTAGGTGTATTTAGGTTTGATTTAGTGTGCATTTAGGGTTGAATTTGAGTCACACATGTTCAGCCAAGGTGGCACCATCCATGTGACTCAAAATGCAACTTAAATGCATGCTAAATTAAACCTAGTTTTTCCTAATTCACTTAAACTAATAATCCTCCTTAAATCCTAATCTAATGACCTAAATACAATGGTCAATCAAATACAATGAATAGGAAAAATTACAAGAATGAAAATGAGCCCAATATTGGGTACCAACAGCCCAAAGGCCCATGAAGCCCAAAACTAAGCCCAATAAGCCTATGGCCCAAAAATGCTACTCTATGTGGTCCAAAATACAAGACCAAAATATGTGAAACCTATACTAATATAATATGTACAAAATATAAGAAAAATGGATTTATTAAGAGATGGCCCATGTGAAGCTCAAATTGGGCGTTCCAGGCCCATCGGGCCCATTGGGCCTTGACTGGCCCAAACCTTAATGTCTAGCCAATTCCTCTTGGCTCCTTCAATGTGTCACCCCTTGCCTTCCTAGGCATGATTCCATCACCTTCGGCCTCAAGCTTGGCCGAGCCTCCCTTCGGCATTCAGAATGACCGGATACCCCCCTCGGCCATGAAAATAACCGAACACCTCTTCGGTTAGATGCTTAGCCGAAGACCTAAAGTATGTCAACCCATATGGAACATATGGCAGATTAGGATATCCATTACGCAATGATTATCACGTCTAATTAAGAAAGATCAAGGTTAACCATGGTATTACCCATCTCCCACGACAGAAGGCCCACCAGGCCCAAATACGTCACTATAAATACACAGGTGATGGGACAAAAAAAAGGTTCGATTTATCTAGTATAAAAGCCTTTATTGCTCTATACCGAACACTTACTTGATCGTCAGAGTGCCTTTGCAGGTACCCTCCCCACCCTTTGAAGATAGTATTCGGTCTGCACCGAAGACTTGGAAGATCACAAGGAAGGAGCAACAAGTGGAGTGTTTCTAAGCAGGAACATTTTGGCGCTCACCGTGGGGCCGAAACCAAAACGGTTCTCGACCCTGAAGTAAGATGGTAGCAACTAGAAGTCAACAAGAAAACGCCATAATTTACAATCTTGGAATGCCTCGGACACCTAGAAAACAGATGAATCAGAACGAGGATGGAATGGAAGAGTCATACGTCGATCGGTCCCAACCCCCCAACCCGTCATCGGCCATAGAACAACTGAAGGCCGAGATGATGGAACTAAAGAGACCGACTTCGGGAGAAGGACGCCCACGAGCTATCGGTCCTGAGAAAGGAGAATGCGGAGCTTAGGAGCGATAACCGATCCTGGCACCCCTCCCATGACACCCCCAACACTCTATCAACGCGTGATTAGGGGGAGTCATCGGGGTGGTACAAAGAGACAAAGACTCATCGGCTACCCGAAAATTTTTTTCACACCATTCAAACCAGTATAACAGCAATTCAAACTTCAAATACCATCAGAATTTAAATTGTTCAAGAGATTAAAGCATTCAAATTGTTTCGAAATTAAAAATATTACAACCAAATTGAAATGAAAATCCAAAAACAGAATTTAAACTTCCTAATTAAAATAGAACAACAAAAACAGAGCATCAATCTGAGTCTTCAGGCATCCCAAGGTGAGTCTTGAGTCGATTAATTTCATGAGCAAGGGTATCAAACCTATCAAGAATACCCGAATAAATTGACTCATGTCTTTTAGACATCTCCATCACAGCATCAAGCTTATTAATCATAATTTGCTCGAATGGAGAGAATAGCTTAGGCTCCGCTTCTTGCTCCCGGTCAGGTTCAGCTTCAACCTGTGGTGGCTAATCTTCATCATGTGATGGAACGCCGTCTTCATCAGTCGCCGGTTCAGGGGTTGGAGGTACATCTCCCTTAAATACCCACTTGTCTTCCTGTTTGAGCATCCCCATATGATGCAAGGAAGATTTCTCAATTTTGTTAGAGGCATGGAGAATTATTTTCTTCTCCCCTGTCAAGTCTACCCCTGCATTCTCAAAAAATTTTGACAGCAACAGAGCACACAGAATCGGTCCATCCTCTTTCCGTCTTGCCTTCCACATACAATCATTTACAACTGATACCCAATCAATCTTGATTTTCTTCTTAATCACATGCATTAATAAAATGTCATCCCTTGACATTTGGGCATGGTTATGCAAACGGGGTTTTAACATCCAAGCAATTATAAAAGAAATCAAACGAGAATTTTTCTTCATACCCACCGCCAGAAACTTGTTGTAGTTGGTGGTCTCAGGATTACTTTGACAATCCCTGAAGGTCGTCAGCTCCTCAAAATTACCAAAGTTGAAGGGTTGGGGTTTTTCACGTCCCGTGCCACTCAGCCCGGCAACCGCCTTCAAGGTTGGCCCGTCAAGCTTAATCAGCTTCCCCTTCACAACTGATTGCATAATGCCTTCATTGCTTGTTGCAAAGCAAAGAAATAGCCTAATCAACTCAGGGTAGTAGGGTCCCTCCATTTCCAAAAACTTTCCAAGTTCTTAGTGCTCCAGAAGAGTTGGAAAGCTAAAGCCTTCATTCTTGAACCATTCCAACTTAAGGGTCTTGGGAGGGATGATTCTCCGACCCGCATACCACTCGAAATAATACTCTTGGGTCTTCTCATCCGCGAACCACTTAGAAATCAGTTGCCCTGAGGGCAGAGGGCGCTTGCTCCCCCTCACTTCAAGCTTCTTGGGTCTCTTGGAGGAAGAAGCCATGAATGGGTCTTGGTGGAGAAGAAGAGAATGAGAGAGATGAGGAGGTTAGGGTTTGAGGGTTTGAGAGAATGTGAGAATGTGGAGAAATGAGAGGTTTTGAGGGTTCTTATGCCCTAACACGTTCTGAGTGGGAGAGGTTTTCTAACTGAAGAGTTATGGGAGGTTAAGGGTTTGGCGCGCATATAAACGTTCAAAATGCTTCAGGAATGTCTAAAGTCTCCCAGATAATCAATTATTTATACAAATAATCGATTATTTGTATCAGTTAAAACCCTTTAAAAACACTATCTGCTATGAATAATCGATTATTTTTAGAATAATCGATTATTCCAGAGGGTGGTTGTTCCTAACTTTGCCCAGATAATCGATTATTTTCAAGATAATCGATTATTCTAGAGGCCTTTCAGATTCCTCTTCCTAGATAATCGATTATTACCCTAGATAATTGATTATTCCAGAGACTCTTGAGTTTCATCACACCAGATAATCGATTATTGCCTAAATAATCGATTATTACAAAGGCTCTTGGAATTCTTCATCTCCCAGATAATCGATTATTACCCAAATAATCGATTATTATTATGGGTTTACTTGAAATAATCGATTATATTTTAAGATAATCGATTATGCCAGAGAAGTTCTACTTCTCAGAATTTTAACCTTTCAAAATACTCTAAGTCTAATTTGTTCCTTGAATACTCTCTTTTATGTATCAATGTATCATTCTTGCTCCAAACAATCATACAAACATTCTCAAATCATAATCAGTTGGTTGGCCAATGTGGTAATGGTTAAGAAGGCAAATGGCAAGTGGCAGATGTGTACCGACTACACGGATCTGAACAAGGCATGCCCAAAAGATGCCTATCCCCTTCCACACATTGACGCATTGGTCAACGGAGCGGCAGGAGGTCGATCGTCCCTCGGGTGTCCACTTTCTCCCCTGAAAATCCGACCAAGGGCTCGTTGTAAGGTGCCAGCTCTCGTTCGGGAATGCCAAGTTGCTCGAATGTCTTCCAGTACAAGATGTCAGCCGAGCTCCCTTGATCAACGAGCGTCTTTTTCACAATGCAGTTGTTAATCTCGACACTAATCACCATCGGGTCATCTTGCACAGGGTTGATGCCTTGAAAATCTCGATCGATAAACGTGATAGGGGGCATGTGGACCGAAGCTGTTCAGCCTACGGCATTTACTGACTTGATTGCAAACACAATTGCTGGCGGATTCGTAGGAGGGGGAAGCATGTCCTCGGCTCGTAGGAGACACTTACGGGCAATCAAGTCAGTAAATGCCGTAGGCTGAACAGCTTCGGTCCACATGCCCCCTATCACGTTTATCGATCGAGATTTTCAAGGCGTCAACCCTGTGCAAGATGACCCGATGGTGATTAGTGTCGAGATTAACAACTGCATTGTGAAAAAGACGCTCGTTGATCAAGGGAGCTCGGCTGACATCTTGTACTGGAAGACATTCGAGCAACTTGGCATTCCCGAACGAGAGCTGGCACCTTACAACGAGCCCTTGGTCGGATTTTCAGGGGAGAAAGTGGACACCCGAGGGACGATCGACCTGTACACCTATTTTGGAAATGGGCAAGAAGGCTGCCAACTAAAGGAACGATACGTGGTGGTCCACGCCAACACTTCCTATAATATCCTACTTGGACGACCCTCTTTGAACAAGCTCTAGGC